CCCAAATGCCACTTTTGCATATTCACAGAGTTTTGACATCCATAGACTCTGAAGGTTGCCTACTGCTCAGATGTAAAGACAAAACAAGCATAATCTACTCCACATTTTAACTCATCCTTTTAAAAAGGGTCTTTGCATATGCATTCATCGTAGCTGTACACATGTGACCCCAGTATTTAAGTACGATAACCTCTAAGGCCCTAAATTTCAGTTAACAGATGCCCTAGTTTAACCATAATCCTACTAAAGTATAGGACTACACACTTAAGCTAACCTGCAGCTTACAACAGAGAGGCTCTACCCAAGGCAAGTCACCTACACAGTGTGCAACAGACACACCACACAGGTAGCTTCTGTCGACAGACTTTCAGGTTGCTACATTCAAACAAGCCAATGACTCTCTCACTGAAACTGAGCACACAAAACCAGTTGAGACACCTATGCACTTTGCACTAAGTGCTTTTCGTCACAGACTTTCCATTCAGAACAGACACACACACAGAGTCCCCACCCCACAAGAGCTATCTAATCCGATGAGCTGTAAATCAGGCTTGTTCAGTGTCTAAGGTGCCTAAACTGTTGTTGTAATCTAATTTCATGTTTCAAACTAGAAAGGTTAGGATCAAAGCGTTTATTTAATGTTACTAATACAAAAAGTAACCTGTGATGCACTTCAGTATATCACATATTGACATATTTAGAGGGATATGTGAAGAGAAGAAATATTAATAAATCTACCTTTTACCTCCAATTATCTTCCTGTCCAGTTTGGTATTGTCTCACTAAGCCTTGTAACTGAGGAGCTTTGCTAACTTACGGCAGCCTAATGCATGGTGGCATCCTCACCCAGTCCTGCTTACTGTAGAGCAGAAAGCTTGCATCTTCTTAACTGCACACTCAGGCACTAAGCCTGATAATAGCAATGCTTCTTAGCTCTCCTAGCACAACTAACTAGGAAAATACTTACGAGAGCATACCAGTTCAGAGACTATAACAAAACACTTATCCCCTGACTTAGGTTCATATATATGTGTGGGTGTGTATGTGTGTGTATATATGTATGTATGTATGTATTTATTTATTTATAGATATAGATATTTTATCCAAAAATTATCTACAGGAAAGAAGTAGGAAAAAATGCAATTAAAAATTAAATATTTAAGATTATGTCAAAATGATGTGGGGAAAAAATAAATAATGTGGGAAAAATTAAACAACTTCAGTGAACAATATCCCCAAACAACATTCCCTAGTATTTTTCATGAAGTACCAAAAAAACAAGATAACAGCTACTCATATGCCTTCAAGAGGAATATATATAAAAACTAACCTCTCTAACCACACAAATTCTATTGAAAAATTCATACCCAATTCAGGCAAAATAATTCCATTTATAAAACTACTCAAAAACCACAACCAACTTCAGAACAAGTCAACTAATAAATTTTCATCTTTTCTGCACTTTGGACACATGGAAGGCTAGCAGCTGAAAACAAATCAAATGTTAAGACAGGCAAAATGAGGGCTGGTAGTGCATAAAAGAAACATTTCAATATTGTTGAAAAATGGTTTAAGACAAAGTTACTATTTTTTTTTTCCAATATCAAGAGAATCCAAACATGTTTTAACCTTCACTGAATTTTAATCTTCACACACAGAAAACCTCTAATATTATTATTTGTGGGTGTTCACTTTATTTAATAGAAACATCACACTAACTACCAAGAACAAAGAAGGAAAAAAAACCAACAACAATCCTCTTCCTCAAGGTAAATTTTTGCTATAAAATTACCCAAGTGGGCTTACTCAGGATGCAGCTATGGACTTCTCTTCCACTTCAGTATCTTTTACAACTTTCTTGCTATTCTACGTTCAGAAAGATGTATACATTCATGCTTTTTGGCTTCTTTCAGCTGGAAGGCTCTACTTGCAACATCCAAATAAGACACAAACAGCAGGTCTTAAACTATGGATGACTTTGGCCAAAAGGAAAACTAGTAACAAAATGGTCTTATGAGGATCTGTACACTTGGTGAAATATACCATCTTATAAACATAAGGTTTTTAAACGCCAAACATCAGTATTTGAAAATTGTACTTCAAAACCACAGTTTTCGTGTTGCTTGGGGTAGAATTCTTGTCTGAATCAAATGAACTATAAAAGCTAGGTTTGCCTCTATTCTCAGTTACAAACAAACAAATAAATAAAACCAGGACTTAAGCTACCACTTCACGTCCCTTCAGTCTGTTCCTTGATCACTTTAAGGCAGAATAAACCAGCACTGCTGTCAAAAGAATTGATCCCGTCCTCTGTATAAACCCCAGCCGCCCATGCACACCCCCCTATACTAGCACAAGTTTTCATTCAGTCACGCAGTGAATTGAATTGGGAAATTGATCCATGTTCAATTAATCAAGAAGAAAAAAAAATCCTAGGGAGATGCATTCAGAATCGCCTTCACTGCTTCCTGATTTATCTCCTCGATTCTCCCAACAGAAGTGAAAATAAGGCAAAGCCATGTTTCAGCACCTTTCAGCATAACATTGGCCATGCTGCTCCAAGGAACCAGAGACAGACCTGCCTCAAACAAAATGCTTCGTGTTTGTTATTGGTAGCAGAGGCAAAGCTATCAAATTTTGGGATCAGTGGGACATCCACTTGGAAAACCACTTCTGCGGAAAGTGCTTCAGGTATCTTCCCTGGAATACAGCTGGCTGAACTGACTGAGGCTATCACTTGGGCAATGTTACGGCAAGACTGAATCATACAGTATCAGATACACCTTCACAAATCAGCCTCTCTTGTGTTCCGAGACGGTTTCTGAACAGCTGGGTTGTTTAGACCACAATGGGATACAGCTGGCCCTTGATACACAGCAGTACCCAACACATTATGCCTGCATCCTCATAGTTCAAAAATCAGTTTGAAACTGTAAAAACAGTAAGACTACCCTGGCAATGATCTCAGAGCAACTGACAGCTTTGCTGGACTGCTCATACTTAACAGCCACGTAACACAGGCTAGAAGTAGCCATGAAACAGGCACAGGCAAGGCATATTCATAAAGACAAGACAGCAAGCCTCTAAAATGTACAGGAAGACCTTCACCCTCTGGAAAGCAAGCCCTGGCAGTAATTAAAACCTGAGTGACTTCAAATAAACTTCAAGGTTTTCAGTGTGGTTTCGGGGAGCTTGCCAATTTACTGCAAGTCTAAGTTGAGCAACTTTACAGCAAGTTGTAAAGGGGTTGATACTGTTCTGGCATGATGCAGTTCAAGAACTAACCATTTGCAGAATTACAGACATCAGCAGTGTTGTACCTGTAAGGGACTATTTGCATTGGTAAACCATGTGAAGTCAAAACAGCAGGACCGTCACACTGGTTCCCACAAACTAAAGATTGTTTCCGCAAGACAGATGGACTCTAACATAAACATTCTGAGATTAATAGCTCACGCTCCTGTGTCTGGAATTATGTAAGAAGCTAATTCTGAGCTTCAGAGAAAGCCAACATGGAACTCCTAAGGGTAGACATTTTGCATCCAAGATACTTCAGAGAGGAAAGAATCCTGTTTTTAAATGCCTTCAATCTTCCAAATAACCTTCTATCAATCACAGCACTGAAGTGGTCAATGGGGGCTTAGTCAAGCTCCCACAGGAGAGGAAGAAAAAAAGAGGGGGCAGACTAGGGGTATTCACAACTTTTTCCACCATGTTTAAAGGGAATGCAGGACAAGGAATAGAGATGCCCTGTAAGTCCTCAGACCTAGCTTAAGTAAATAGGCACACAAGAGTGCAAAAATGAATACAGACAGGCACATGAAAGATAAAAGAAAAATCATAACTATCTTACAGGACATTCTTGAATAGAAATACTAAGTCAATCCTTTTGAGGCTTTAGGACAGCAAGATGGTATTTCCAACCTATCCAAGTCTGTAACACACTTCTCTTTTTCAGTAAGGCTCCTCCTGGACTACTCATGCACTTTTCAGATACCAGTGCAGAGACAGATTAGGACCCATGTCAGGCCAGAAGGATGCAGACTACTTCTTCTTTGTCAGTTTATCCTTCCGAATCCCCAAACTCTTGCTTTGCTGAGGTTGGTGTTTCTACATGTCGGAAGGAAACTCCCTGTTGCAGAGAGGCGTTTAACCTTAAATTCTTGTGACTTCAAGGACTGAGACTTTATACTTTAATAGGATTGTCACAATGCAGTCATCAAGAAACCACACATTAACTTCCAGTTCAGTTTGTCTTCTAAAGATTGGAGAAATACTAGTCAATGTATGAGGTCTGAGATGAAGCCATTTGGAAAAAAATATAGTGGCTTTTCAAACTCACCTGACTTGCAGCTGACTTTTCACAGTGGAATTTGGGTCACTTGGACAAGAACATTAGTTTTTGCCTAAAAGTCTCTTCTCCATGCTAAGAACAGAGCTCATAATGAAGATATTAACCCTGCTTACTTGTAGCTATATCAAAGTTGGCATGGAAAAAGACTACTATAAATTTCTTTAATACCACCATTTAATAAAAACAACTCTTGAAGTGTCAGCTTCTTCAGAGACATCAGAGTTAAGTAACAGCCAGCACCAAATCCTGGCAAGCTAAGCAAGATACAGATCACCTGCTTTGGTGCCTACGTTAGTCACTACAGAGCTTGAAAGGCAAGACAGCCACAGCCTAGGTTCCAGATCATACGGTCTAGGCCTCCTGGGCAAACAGTCACAACATGATACATATCAGTTTTATTTTTAATGCAAGTTATATATCATTGCTGAGAAAATATTACCAGTAAAAAAATCCTATGGAAGTTACTAAAGTACAATGGAGAAAGTTCTGTTTACCTCCAAAAAGTACAATTTAATTTCAACAGTAGCTCATCTAAAGTCACACCTTGTAATTTTCCTAAGTGTATTTCATGTTCTCTATAATTCAGCTGCTACCTGTATTACACCATTCTGTTAAAACAAAGAAAAGAAAAATATTTTCCCCTTACCTCTCTGCCAGACTTTCCTGGAATCTGGCCTTGAGTCTCCCTCAATTTGCGTGCATTCTCAAGTTCTGCTTGAAGTTCTGAAGCTAACTCCTTGAAAGAAAGTGGTAGTAGTCCATTAGTTTAACCATTTTAAACTTTTAGAGACCTTTATATGAGAATTAACTATTTATTCCATTTTTTCATGGTTTGATATTTTTTAAACTCCAGTGACTAAAGAAAATATGTCAATATAGTTCACGCAATTCTTTAACAAAGATAAAATAAAAAAATTGTTCAGAACAGAGGTATCTGAAGTATAGAAACATATATTGTCATAAAAACACCAGAAAAATGATGTTTAAGCATTATTCAATTATACTAATAAATGCTTTGTGTAGCTAAGCATAGATGCTACTTTATGTATAGGAAGCTTCTACAAATCAAGTGTATAAACCCTCCAGGTTATGGTACATATCCTTTTATTTATTTTTATATATATACATACACAAACATGCACACAATGGATCTAGGGAAATATCTCTCAGACATTTCTGTTATGCAGTTTCACATCTCTCTACACCATACATCCAACTTTAGCACCTAAAACCTTACTTCGGGTATTAAAATGGACAAGAAGTGGAAAATGAGAACAGTTTAGTCTTGTGTTAATTGTTCTTGATGCTCCTGCTCTCTCATCCATCTCTTATTTAAATATTATTGTGTGAACCTCACAAGATTGAGCAACGCCAAGTGCAGGTCCTGCACATGAGTCCAGACAATCCCCGGTATCAATACAGGCTGAGGGATGAAGGACTTGGGGGTACTGGTGGATGAAAAACTGGACATGAGCCAGCAATGTGCGCTCGCAGCCCAGAAGGCCAACCGTCATCAAAAGAAGCATGGCCAGCAGGTCGAGAGAGGTGATTCTGCCCCTCTACTCCACTCTGGTGAGACCCCATCTGGAGTACTGCATCCAGCTCTGGGGTCCCCAAGATAAAAAGGGACATGGACCTGTTGGAGTCAGAGAAAGGCCACGAAAATGATCAGAGGAACACCTCTCATATAAGGAAAGACTGAGAGAGTGGGAGTTGTTCAGCCTGGAGAAGAGAAGGCTCTGGGGAGACCTTAGTGCAGCCTTCCAGTACTTCAAAGGGGCTTATCAGAAAGATGGGGACAGACTTCTTAGCAGGGCCTGTTGTGATAGGACAAGGGGTAATGGTTATAAACTGAAAGAGGGTAGATTTAGACTAGATATAAGGAAGAAATCTTTCACAGTGAGGGTGGTGAACCACTGGCACAGGTTGCCCAGAGAGGTGGTAGATGCTCCATCCCTGGAAACATTCCAGGTCAGGTTGGACGGGAACCCGCTCTAGTTGAAGATGTCCCTGCTCCTTGCAGGGCGTTGGACTAGATGACCTTTAAAGGTCCCTTCCAACCCAGACTAGTGTACGATTCTATGAAATAAGTACAAGCATTTTAGAATATCTTGGTTTACTAAGAATTGCCAGGTGACCATCTACCAATCTATATGAAATACAACCATTTATACTCTGACAACTTTGCCAGTTTCATTGATTGGACTCCAACAATCAAGCCTGTACTTGTCGACCCAAAACTGTCATGTGATCAACACAAGCAGCAAGTCAGTAACAAAAATAGCTTTAGAATTCCCACACGCTCAACCTTGAGCTCTGGCCTCCAGGACATGCTGTTACATAACCATCTGTTCTGATGTGTGGGGATGAATTTCCTTAAACAAGCTACACTTTCAATCTGATCAGAGAAAGCCCAAGAAAAAATACTGAAAGAGCACCAAGGCAAAGATTATTTATTTTATTATTTATACTGTGCTTGGTTGGGTTTTTTTAACTAGGCTAATTCAGAGTGCATATGTATATGTATATATGTATATATAAAATTAACAGTAAACTGCAATGTTGGCTTCTGCTACATGATTTTTGGTCAAAACAAAAAAAAAAAGGTAGAATAATTAAAGAACCACTCTCTCCTCACAGAACAACTGTATATTTTCATTCAAATTACTCTTATTGAGTCACTGTCAAGCTGAAAATACAAAATCCACACTTGTGCTCAAACTTTTATTTGGACAATGCTATTGAAGCTGAGCAGTAGACAAAAAAGTTTTAAAATTTTTGCTGCTTCCATGAAAGTCTTTGGAAAACTTTCCCAGTGCTTTATAGCAATTAGTGTATAGATAGCTTCAATCCTTTTCTCCTGTTGGAAAATGTCTTAAAATAATATCTTAAGTGACTAACACCAGTCCCTCACAAACCTATCATATAATTACACTCATAAACATGTTTTTTCATCACTAGTGTATTTTTTGTATATTAACGAGGAAAACCACACATTAAAATATGGAGGCCTCTATTTAAATCTTCAACACTCGTTATAGCTTAGTAGAAAATACACTGCTTGAAGTTACTTTTAATTCACTTTTGAAGTTAATAAGGTTTCCAATGTACAGGATTTCTACAAAAGGTGTATTTGTTCAAATTTTGTAAAGCTGCATACATACGTGTCTAAAGTCTGTGGGAAAAGATTCCATAATGTAAAATGGGATTGAAAAGAAAATAGTTATAAAATGGACACCTTCTCCTATCAAAATTTAAGTTATGTGATAGGGGCTTTGACAAGACCAAGACCATGACGAGCAATAAAATCATACGCCAAACATCCTAAAACTTCCCACAAAGCAAAGAATCAATGGCTCTCAGGAAATACTAATTTGGAACTTGAAGTCGTAAAATGTCTTATTTATTACTTCCTAGTGATGCAGATTTTGGTGCAAATATTCCGTCACAAATGGCAAGATGAACAGGTTCATCAAAAATCTTTTTAAAAAAAATACCAAGGCCCATAGTGATAGGACTCACTTTTAAAAAATGTTATTATATACCTCAAAAAAAATGAGCAATACTTCCTTAAAAGTAGCTCTTCAGAGCAAGCACTTGTAAAACGTATCTTCAAAACTAACCGACTATGACCTTGTTATAACTGAAAGTTCCAGGCAGTATTACTGAATACAATTAACTCACTGTAGCCATTTTTACTGTAATTTTGAAAAAGTAAGTACTTCCAGAGTTCAGTGTTCCAAAAGAATGAAGTTCTTGATCCTTCGGCTGCGGTCTGAAACAAGCCTCCTAAAACATTAAATGTGCAGCTGTCTATCTCAGCTCCATGGACCCAGACTCATTCAGGGCAGATGTTTTGCAGAGCTGCCCACAAAACCTTACATAGCTGTTCTCATTGCAGAGCTGGATGCAATAGCCTATGTGGTTCCTTTCAGTTTTCTATTTCCATATCATCATCTATTATGTTATGCTTACACCGCAGAGGTACGGACCACAAGCACCCACTTGTGACAAAGTTGATGAAATAATGATAAGCTCCAGGCACTACCTTGTAACACAGATAGAGAGCTTTGCAGTTTTCACTTGCTTCCTGCTTAATAAAAACACACTAAAACCTATGAAAAAGACAAAGAACAACTGCTTTTGGATATGCTGCCTAGCCTACAAAACCTGGGGACCTGAATCTTCTTTTCTAGTCTATGAATCATTGCATTTAAAGCAGAAGTTACAGTAAAAGCAGTATCTTCAAATCCTACCTGATCAAATTTTGTAGAATACAATTTGCTTGAATCAATACCTTTTTTTTTAAACAACTAAACCACTGCGAGCTTTAAAGAAAAACTGTAGTAAATCATGACAGTTTTTCAAACACATTACCATGTCTCCCATGAGTTCTGCTTTCACAATCCTTGCTCCCAGTCTGTTCATCTCCTCTTCACTAAGGACCCGAGGTGGCTCATCCTTTGATGTATGTCTGTAAAACACCAGCAGCACTAAACCCATAGAAAAACAATGTAGTATTCATCTGTGTAATTAAATAATATATGCCTACTGTATTGGTACATATGGTCCTATTGCCAAAATAATAGATAACAACATATTATAAAAATATATTTGCAGTCAGAAGTTGCCAAGGACTCTGAAACCAAAAAGCTTGAATAAAATTTTCATGAGGTGTGTTTCCTTTTACTTTTGAGATCAATTAAAATGAAAAGCACTATCCATGAACACCTTCTCAGCATGAAAACACAGTCAAGAGCCAATAGCAGGTATAAGCAGACAAGAAGCATGGAAAAGAAGAGCAGAAAGTATAATATAAACCCACTCTGTAACTGTCCTTTCTGGCTTTGGTCATGCTTTTACTCATCAGCTCCAGCAAAATCACAGTTGTTCTCCTGTACACCAAATGGCCTTCCATCTCTTGAAAACTACTTATATGTTCATACTTATCTTCTCACAGTACAATCTCTGCTTCTAAAGATGTTATGGCTGATATGATAGAGTTTCCATGGAAAATTAACTGATACAGTTTTTAAAATATGAAGTCTCCCTAGAGAAGCTACAGCTAGGAGTAAAGAGTATTGTATCTTAATTTTAATATTAAAAGGTTAGTGTATGAGTTCTTATGATAATAAATAAGGTCTCTAAGAATTACTGCAAAGAAGCATCAACAAGTTTGGCTCTTTTCGTCTAACCCTAGGAAAGACTAAAACCAACTAACTCTAAAAGTAAAATATCTAACACAAAAGAGACATAAGAATACTGCTATGATACTGGTCCCTGCTATTAAAAGAGAGAGACAGAATTCACTTACTACTCAATACAGTTAAACCCTTAGGATTTGAAAATGGGAGAACTTTGAAGATGGTGTCACCTTTAACTGCCAGAAGTCCCCAGACGCTGAGGAAATTACTAAAGTTACTTTTGTATGTTTTGAAGATGCCCAATCCAAAACCTAAAAACTCAGCAGAAAAGTTTACATTCACCTCACCAGAAACAGAGCCATCAAAGATTAAGTTCTCACTTCTCCTTAACCTGTATGTTTCAAAACAAGGCAGACTATTTCAGCAGAGGGAGCAAGAGATGTTTATTACTTCATAAATGTTTTTTTTCAGTGGTGTTAGCACTTGAATCATCATATAAACTTTTTCAAACTAGAAACATTGTTTTATTTTGCTTTTTACCTTGTCCTAAATTAAACTCTGAAGCAGTCACATTATTAAGTGTGATGTTCAGTAAACACTAGCTGCATGGACTTTTCCTCTGGGGAGATCCCTTGGACATCCAATCAGCACTTAATTAACCTGTGCCATAACTGTCCAAAACACTTTGATTTATAGGCTGAAGAAACCCTCTCTGTATTTTAGAAGGGACAAAACCTAAAAGGTACATTGTCAGCGTGAGAGATGAGGAACTGAACCAGCAACACCTATTAATCCAAGCCTTCATGTCAATGAAGATTTACTTTTTGTGACTAACTGAGCACCCCTGAAAGAGTACATGTATTACACGACTTTAGGAAGAAAAAGAAAGCAGCATCTTATAAATTATTTCCAACAGATAACTACCCCACTTAACCAACTCTGAAATGAAAGAGACAGAAATTTATAAAAAAAAAAAATCTACAAAACCCTACAATTCTCATAGACGGAAACAAGAAGACAAGCCATACACTATCTCAAACACAAAGAAGTTTAGGAGTTAAGAGTCAGCTTAAAAGAACTTGGAAATAAGTAAGTGAATAAGCAGAAGCTATTTGGTTTTCCAGGCCTAAGTAATCTCTGCTTCACTAATAAATCAGCTCAGTAATTGTATTGGCTAAGAAATAGAATTAAAATATCAAAGATGCACAATCAGGTTTAACAGTACTAAAACAGAAAACACATGCCAAAGAAAACGTTAGCTAAATAGTTTCTATGCTTAGTCCTCTTCTGCGAGGAAAAGAAAATAATTATCTTTTCTATCATAATAATTGAATTCTTCCGTACACAATCTAGTTTCCCAAAATTTGCAGCTCTGTCCAGTTAAAATTAGTGTTGCCCTTACTACATGTGGTAACCAAAAGCTAAAATGTACAGTTAAGACTGTAAAGGAGTAGTTGCTTATTTTAAGGTAAGAAAAATGAAGCGATGGTATCACTAACTTCTACTCATTACTTACATGCTGTACTAGGTCTGGCTGGGATGGAGTTTATGTTCTTCATAGCAGCCCGTATGGTGCTGTGCTTTGGACTTAACTGGTAACTACAACAGTGTTGATAACACACCAGTGTTTTGGCTGTGGCTGAACAGTGCTTACAGAGCCTCAAGGCTTTCTCTGTTTCTTACTCTGCATCCCCAGCAAATAGGCTGGGGTGGACAAGAAGCTGTGAGGGAACATAGTCAGAAGAGCTGACCTGAAACTGGCCCAAGGACTATTCCACACCACATGATGGAGTGGCAGTAAAAAAGCTGTAAAAGCAGTAAAAGCTGAGGGTGCAACCTTTCCAAAGTAGCTGCTGCTCAGAGACTGGCTGGGCAGCGGTCTGCTCATGGGAGGTGGTGAGTGACTGACTGCCTTTGTACCGCTTGTTTTTAGCTCTTTCCATCACTTGGTAAAGTGTCTTTATCTGATCGATGAGTCTTTCTTCCTTTTGCTCCTCTGATTCCTCTGCAGGAAGGAGAATGAGTGAGCAGCTGGGTAAGAGCTCAGTTGCTTGCTGGGGTCAACCCACCACATATGCAACGCAACACACAGCTCCACACCTTCCCTCACCAAAAAAAACCCCAAAGATAAATAAATAAATAAATAAGAACAAGGTGTGGGGTCTTCACATGGTCTCTCTCAGTCACTGCATTGTGGACAATCACCAAAACTCTCTTATTGTTAGTAGTTCACTACAGTTAAATAAAGTATACTGGATGTCAGAACTCCTATTTGCCATCAGCTGTACAACACAGCTGTTAAGATCTTGCTTTCTTCTGGAATTCGTGGAGGAAACAAAACTGAGAATGAAGGTAGACTTACTAAAAGGTTGTATGTCATTTACACAGATTATTTGCTGCTAATCAGTGAAGTATTTGTTTTTTTAAAGAAAGCATATGACATTTAAGATGAAGGATAAGACTAACCATGCATAATCGTGCCTTTTTATGTGCGCAAAAAAGCAGCTTCTTAACAGGGTAGGTTTCTTCCAAACATATAGTTCTGACTGTATATTTTCATTTTCATGGAGCCTGTGTCTGAACTACAGTGCAGATGCACTCTCCCAGCTCACCACAGCTAACCCTCCTTACAAGAATACCTATGTTTCCTTATGGAAACCAACGCACTACCCCAAGGCAGGCAGAAAACAACTGTGGACTGTGCAGACCTTGTACCTGAACAAAGTCATGAACAAACCAAGAGCTAAGGAAGTCCCAGAGGCTCCAGCTCAGACACACAATGAATCATTCTAATCAGAAGCTTACAAAGTACATTGAAGTGGTAAACCCCAGGCACTTCAGGGCAATAACTATTTGGGCAGTATCTAGAAAAACAAAGATCACTAAATTTGAATGTCTAATAATGTCTCATACATCACAGGTTTAATGCTACAAGATTTTTTTTTCCAGAGTAACTAAAACAACTATGAAGACGTACTTCTCATTTTCCAGCAAAATAACACCTAGGCAAATACTAAAACAAACAATAAAACAAGACATGACAAACACTTAGGAGTGGGACTTCCCATAGTGCATACAAACTACTCCTGCCATGATGCATATTCAAAGTCATGTTTTTTTAAAAAAAAAAGATTAAGTGAACATCATGCAAACAACTTATCTAATTATAGCAAGTAAAATCTGGAAAAAATACCCCAACTATACAAAATATAAAGAATTGTGTAAACTAAGCTGCCTGTTTCTGATTAGTCATGCAGTACTCATTTAACATACAATTTTTCTTTGCAAACACACAGTAAGGTATCTGCCAGTACTACACATAGGAACAGCTATAAATAAAATAAATACTTCTAACATGTTGTCTTATTATCAGAATCCAACAATTAAACATTAAAAATAAATTCACAACCCTGCTATAAGAAGGGGAGCTTTTTTCAGGGTTTTTTAACCAACATTAGCATATAAAAAAGAAGGAACTACACTTGATCATATTTCATTAAATCCTGTTTCCAACTAAATCGTATCACCCTTCTTACATAATCCAACCAAGAAAATCTACTTGTCTAGCTTTCCCAAGCAATTAAATAAAACCACCCTGACTCAAAAATACTTTTGCACATTCCTACCTTTTATTGGGAAAATCTGAAGGAACGCATTCACAGTAATAACCACACTACTCATATGACCGGAAGAACCAGCAAGCTGGTAATACTGGAGAACAGGTGGCCTCGAGTAGAGCAAAAGCTCAGTTGTCCACAACTTACTTTTCTGACCACTTCTCCTTACTACTCTTCGTTGTCTTTCACTAAAGGAAGTCAGGGAAACTGAAATTCCTACCACATATTAGTTTCCGTTTCTGTCTGGTTTTGGCTGGGATAGAGTTCATTTTCTTCACAGAAACTAGTATGGGGCTATATTTTGGATTTATGCTGGAAACAACACTGTTTCCAGCAACACAGGGATGTTTTCATTATTGCTGAGCAGTCCTTACACAGAGTCAAGGCCTTTTCTGCTTCTCACACCACCCCACCAGTGAGTAGGCTGGGGGGTGCACAAGATGTTGGGAGGGGACACAGCTGGAACAGCTGACCCCAACTGACCAAAGCAATATTCCATACCATATGATGTCATGCTCAGCATATAAGCCTGGGGGAAGAAGAAGGAAGGGGGGGACATTCAAGTAGTGAATGAATTCCTTTTTTTGCTTTGTTTGCATGCATAGCTTTTGCTTTATCTATTAAACAGTCTTTATTTCAAACCATGAGTTTTCTCACTTTTACTCTTCCAATTCTCTCCCCCATCCCACTGTGAGGGGAGTGAGTAAGCAGCTGCGTGGAGCTTAGCTTCCAGCTGGGGTTAAACCACGACAGTTTCCCTTCCCACCCCTGTTCACCTTTCCTCCTCCTCTCCTACACAGAAAGTGCACTTTTCTAATCAATACGTCTACTATTTTATATATGCTACTACTTTAGCATGTAATTTCATCTCTCAGGTGGCAAACCTATCCTTGCTGTATTATTTCAGTTTTCAGTCAGCATTTTCTAACATTTCAAGTTTGTCTTTTATAAATGCAACAAGAGTTAAGAGTGTTTTGGAGGTTTTCTGCCTAGGATGCTAATTTTACTGCAGTGTGAACTAACATTAGAAAGAAGCAGAAAATAATCTATCATTAGCAATTCTCAACTATGCTGAGGAGACAGGACAAGTAGGGGGTGTTCACTACTTCTGTAGTGGTCCATTTTAGCTGCCCCTAGCTGGGAAGCCAGCCTCCTCCTAACTAAAGCGACCTGATATGGTCAGATTTAATATTGCCACAATATATAGATATAGAGTTTCCAGCATAATTTGCCATGAAAAATACAGCAAGTACAAGATAAGTCAAGATGTTTGTAAAATACCTAGAACATGATGTTTTACTGTCAGATAATGTTTGTTTCTTCTCAGGGACATCGCTTGAGTACTTCTGTCGTGACTTCTCTTTTTCGTCACTTGGAGTTCTTTCCCAACTATTGGTATCAGTTTGTTCCCGATTACCTGAGGATTTTTGATCAGACATTAATTTCTCATTGTTATCTTCTGAGTGTGTTTTGGTCCACAGTGCAGCATCCTCACTAGGTTTTTGGAAGCGGCTGCTCAAAGAGCTATGAACCAGCAGTTTGGAAGAACACTGCTGTGATTTGTAGTCTCCAGGTGCACTGTAAGATGATAAATCATCCTCAGAAGGTTTCAGAAATTTGCGTTTCATGTTGCTTAGAGATGAACGCTTCTCCTGACTTTGTTTTTCATTGGAGTGTTTTTCTGCTTTGGAGCTGTAGCCTCTCAATTCTGACTCCGTGCTACTGTGTCCACATTCTTGGTCTTCTCTTGACATAACTCTTTTGTAACCTTTGTCTTCTTGCGGCCACCCCTTGCCATACTTTTCCTTAGTATAGCCCTCAAACGTGCTCCTGTTTCTATCCTCTTCATCTCGCGTCTCTTTTTTCATATGCTGTTCTCTCTTCTCTTTCTCACTTTCTGAATAGTCATTTTTCTTCCATCTTCCACCTCTACAATAATTTTCTTTTCTGGATGCAACTTTTTCAGCTGCTTCTAATCGTGACTGAAATAGTTCCATTGACTATAAGAAAGAATAAAAAAAGTCATACTGCTTTTAAGATCATGGGCATTGTGAAGCTCCCTACAAAGTATTACAAGAAAGGCAACATTCCTTGAAAACGAGTCACTGTGCAAAGGGCAAGGCATGAGCCATGGAGTGGAAAGGAAGACCAGCATGAAAAAGGGAACTTACAGCCTCATGTCTAAGATGCTCTGTTAGGAAGGCTTTCTGATCACTTCTCTTGGACTATTTCTAACTTTCATCCCATGGCTCTAAAGTAAAGTGCTAAAGCACTCTGAGGAACAGGGACTAGAGCCTCAGAACTGTCTCTTCCTGGTAACCTGGAGTCTAGGGGCTTGAGCTAGGGAGAAAGGTTTCTGCTTTCTCACTCATCAACTTTGCATTTATGCTCAGCTTCTACAGAACTAATGGATGTTCCCACTAAATCATTTTACAATCTAATTAAACTCTTAAAAACACAGGAGAGTGGGTCCAAAATCTTTAGCTGGAAACAGGCTTTGAATCCCTGTCTCTGGCTTTCTGGACAAATACTCTATCCATTAGGCAGTTATGCAAAATCTGGACTGTTCCCCTTCCCTCTTTTGGGCTGAATTAAAAGTCACCAATTACTTTTTCTTTTTTTCTTCTTCCCCTCAAAGCATTACATACTGAAGCAAATCAGGCAGGGTTCTCTTTCAATCGCTATCATGTACTTCAGCAGCCAGAGTGGTTCATGCTGTTTGAACTCCAGTTTCTTGAGAAAGATTCTTTAAAATAATATTCTTTACAATCACTGACACTGAATAATTTCTACCAGCACTGACCATGCTGGTTTGATCATTCAGGAGTGACTACAGTTCAGTGCAGAGACTATAGTATGAAGTCATACCGTCTTACCTAAGATTTCCACAAGCAAACCAACTTAATCAAAAAACCCACAGAAAACTCAAATGTAACACTATGGTCAAGACTTAACACCCCATGCCCCACAATACTTTTACGGACAATAACATAATATGTAGGGAGAGCAGGCTTTAAAGGGTTAATATTGTTATGGCAGACTGTTTTATTAAAAATAAATTTTGAAGACTTTAAACCCTTCAGAAGCAAGCAGCTTTCTCAATTTATCTGGACTGAGCAGATCACAAGTGGCCAGAAGATTCCTATGTGGTGAAATTTGACACAGCTCTCCAAATTATCCTGGCATTATTATTATCTGCTATGTAAAGGAGAACAAAATATATTTTTTAGTATACATCATAATTTTGGAAGCACACAGGTACTTTGTAACTGGGATCATTTGAACCTCCTGATGTAGACAATAAGTATTTTTAATTTGCTATAAGATCCAACATATTAAAAAATATTTAACAAAAAAGATATAAAAGCCTGGGTTGCTTTAAACTCTTCATCACTTGAGAGAAGCTTCAAAGGCTGTTTTTTCCTGCTTCCTTCCTCATGTCTTATGCTACACATTAAGAATTTGTGCCTTTATAAGGTAATACTTTTCCAAGTATCTATTAGTATGAAACAAAATTAATTGAAGATCCTTACCCCATATCTCTCAGCTACAATTTCCTCAAAATTTCGTTTCTCTCTCTCAGCCTGCTCCTTCATCCTTTGGTATGATTTTTGTAACCAACTTAATCCAGCATCTTCTACCACTGTAACTAAAGTAGAAAACAATGAGAGGCCACAGTTTTATATCTCAGTAGTTATTCCTATTTAAGCTTACTCTGTACGTGACATTAAACCTTCACCTAAACTTAATGTAATAATTGAAGAGGTGCAAACAAAAAATAGAAAGAATATAATAATACAATTACATGTCTTTATAAGTTAATGCTGGATATACCTCAGTAATACCTCTGAATTAACTTAACCTTCTCCATTTTACCATAGAACACAACAAGCAGGTTCCAAGACAGGAGAGTCATATGAGAAGTTCTGGGGTTTTTCATGAAATTAAAGAACTTTCTTATTCTTTCCATTTTCCATATCCATTCTTTGGCATACCCCTTACATACAAACAAGTGCATTCACCTGCTCAGAAAATTTATGAGTAACCCATTGCTTTCCACCTGAGAAACTAGCAGAGATCTTAATATTCACAACACATACTCACTGATGCCTTGTCACCTCTTACAGATCGCTGATCTCTGTGACTCCTAGAAGTGGGCATGAGGCTAATGGTTTGTAGGACAGACTGTCCACAAGGAAAGGCTTCCAAAGAGAAAAGCCAGGGACCCTACTGTTCCCTGTTGACAGAATACAAGGACCCTTCTTATCACATAATAAATGCTTCACAACATTGTGAAAAACATTTTTCTAACTGCTTTTGCTGGAAATAGGCAGGATAACCCTAGGGTAACAAAAGTGAAAAGGTTACAGAAATAATATTTTTTACGAACTGCATCTGTAATGTACTTCATTTTAATGTGACTCAGACTTCTGCAGTTGAATATTTTAACACTATAATTTGTGTAATGTAATGAAAGGAACAAAATGAGATGACAACAATTTATCTTGTCTTGGTTAAATCATGCTTTCCTTTAATTAGTTCAAAATGGAGTATTTCTGTAAAGATATTGAAGGTCAAACCACTCAAGGTTAAAAAACAGAGAAGGGAAATTCTGCAGAACAACAAACTATACTAACCCAATATTCACAACTGAATTTTCATCCAAATCTCATGTTATTACATGTTTTTCTTAATCCCTTCACATCAACATTGTAGTAACTTGTTAGCAACACAGAGACCGGAGACTAGAGACAGAAATTTAAGATTATTACTAAAAGTTGCTGTTTACCTTTCTTAACTAAAGCTGCTTCATCCTTCTCCAGCGGCAAACCTGTACCACCGTCTTTCCAATAGGGATTCAGTTCTCTCTCAGACAGCATGGCCTAAAACAGAAATAATTTTAATGTGTGCACAGCATATGGTTTGCATTTTCTAGAACAGTTGATAAATTTTGTGAGACTTGTGTGGGAATAGAACAGCTTACTCCTAACTTGTGATGTCTAAGGACAGGTAGAAATAAACATAACTCTCCATCCTGAGTCAAAGCTCTCAAACACGTGCTTGGCTGGCACCCTTGTAACACAAAAGCAGTTTTAATGTTTGACTTCATAGCCAGTGTACCAGTAATACACGTGTACACCTGAAGCACTGCTGCTATGAGGGCTCTTAGTTTTACCTCAGGTTACTGCTTTTTACCCTCAAACCAGATTGCTTATTGTGATTCTGTCAACTGACTTCTCTGGAAGCAGGCAAGGAAGTCCACTGGAGAAAAGGGTTGATCAGGCATTCCAGCAGTGACAAAATTTTGAATTTGTCTGTGTTATATCATCAACTCATCACCACCACTGGCAGGCTGTATGCATCTGTTGTACACATTGTTTTGGGTATCAAAGAAAGGTCAGACACTCTGGTGTTGAAAACACAAAAGTATAAACCTGCATGGAGAGAAGGTAGTTGCGTGGGAGAGTCTATAAAAATAATATTCTTCTAGGATCAAAAATACATATAAATTGTCATTAACCACATAATACATGCTGACATCCTGGCGATTTAAGATCTCTACATTAAATGGTCCTTCAACAGTTCAGAAAAAATGTTCAGCAAAAAGTTATGTGGGGAACAAAAAGATTAATCCTTTCTCAAAAGACAATAACCAAAGCGCCACATACTACACAAGAACAGCGCTCCAGGTCAGTCTGGCTCCTAGCCACAACACAACTAACTGGAAAACCTAACAGCAACAAATGGCCTTCTGTGAGATGTGAGGACAAGTAAATATTAGGTAGTGACCAGCAACTATGTTTTCAGATCAGACTACACTGCATTTAAGGAGCTGAATGAACAAATGAACCAGCCGGCAACCGTATGTAAACAGAACTAATTTAATGACAGCAACTCCTTCCCCACCAGACCCTGATCCACTAGTGTTCAAGCACAACTGTCACATGAAAGGCACAGCAACTGTTCTGAATTCTTTCTTCAGGAAAAAACAAACCTCAGCAACCTATGCTTTAACACAGAAACTTAGGTAAGCTTCTATCACATAAAGCAATGGTGCTTTTTTTCACACACACCATGGGAAAAAAGGCCAGACCAACAGTCCGTCATTGTTATTAAGTAAAACATCTGAGAAGCACTTCAAATATTACAGAACTTAGTACTAACAAAACTTGCTTTCTCCTTACCTAGAAGATAGTTTAAAGGCTTTTCTCCACAAGATAAGCCTGCTGTATGAAGCCTTCCCATCCCAAACAGAGCAAATAACTGATCAATTTAATTAAAATCACTATCACACAACACATCAGCCATTAGTTTAAAAACTATACAAAGACTTACATATTTGAACCAATTCATTGGTTCGTTCATGACACAAAATGTAGTAAGATGCAGAAAAAAGTTAATATATTAATTCCTCCTACCTGCTCAAGTTCTTGAGCTTTCTGTCGTTCCAGTATTTTTTCTTTGTGTCTTTCACCTCTGACAGATGCTAGTGATGTGGTTTTCAATGACATGAAGTCTAAATTCATCCATTCTTCTCTCTTTAAAATAAACACAAAGAATCAGTGTTCATACTTCCAACAAAAACATGGCTTAAGTACAAATCAAACCAGTGCAACTACTGACAAATGTTACTTAGAATAAACAATATAGGTTTTACAAACACATATGAAATACTCTAATGAAAAGCAAATATGAAGTCTTTCAATTTTTTAATATTCACTTACACAAATAAATTTCATGTAATTTCATGTCTTTCTGTAATTTGAAATACATCTTGACAATGTATTTAAGACACTAGTAAACATGTAAACTGTACAGACTGTTTATTATTTGCTTAAAAAAAACACTGTACATCTAGGCCAATTCCTTTTCATCTTGCTAATACGGACTTCATGACCCCCTACATCTCTCCTAGCTTATATAAAATCTGCCATCACTCACTGAGCATAGTTCACACCTCAGATACCTAGGCACTAACTGCACTCCCAAATTAAACAGTTACATCTAAATTCTGTGAACTGTACCAACAATAGCAGGTAGAAAACTGCATTTACAAAACATAAGCCGGACTAAGGACATTTTAAAAATGAGGACTACACTCTCAAAAAAAGCAGCATATAAAAAGCCTAGATGTACCCACTACCTTTATACACACAAAACCTGAAGCCCCAAAAGAAAGCAGTGACATACACATTATAAACAACTACTCTACAAAACCAAGTATTTGGAACATTTCTGTGGATAGTATAGCAATCAAAATGACAAGATTACACCTATTTTGATATATGTCCTTGCAGAAGAGTCCTCATAGCTTCAGTAGAGTTCAAGTCTGAGTTGTCAATTTCAATAGATGCTATGTGTCACACTTTCGCTGTTACTTAAAAATTGTATTAGGTAACACCCCAGAGTTTCAGAGGCTAAATACAACATTGCACTTCTCAGATCTCCTCTAAGAAAGAAAAGGAACTGAAAAATAACCTATCTTCAAGGGATACAATAGTATCTATGCCCACATTAGCAATCAACATGGATCAACAGAAGTGGATGTGCGTGGGACCTCGCGAGGTCATCTAGTCCAACCCCCTGCTCAAGCAGGGCCACCTAGAGACCAGGACCATGTCCAGATGGCTTGTAAATATATCCAAGGATGGAGATTCCACAATTTATATGGGCAGCCTGTGCCAGGACTCAGTCACCCTCACAGTAAAACACTGTTTCCTGATGTTTAGACAGAAACTCTTGTGTTTCAGTTTGTGCCCGTTGCCTCTGGTCCTGTCACTGGGCACCACTGAAAACAGCCTGGCTCTGTCTTCTGTATAGGCACCAGATTTGTGGTTTAGGGGGGTTTTTTTTGTTTCTTTTTTTTTTTCCCTAAGCAAGTACTCCAGACTAGTCCAAGACTAGTCCCATGCAGCACCTTAGGTGCACTTGGAGAACATGCCTTCTAATTTAGTTTAATCTAACTAGAAATGGATTTACATGCTCCAAGACTTCTTCATAATGTGAGACAAAATACAAAAAGTAGGGATGACCAGGAAATTCCTTTCAAAAGCACACTCTTCACCCAAAAACAGGCAAGCCCAGGGCACACATTATACAAGAAATGCTTGGAAAAAAATGGTTTCTCGGTATAAATTATCACAACATACATAAGGATTTATATTTCATTACTTTATACTTTTCCAAGAAGATAGACATGATTCACAGATCCTTTTTATTTGTCTTAACAAGATGTACAAATTCAGAATGAGAAACGGGGACTTTCTTCAGGAGTGGAATTAGACACAATTAAAAATTATCATTTCACACAACTGAGGATGATTTGTCACCATATTTATGATACTAAAATCACGGCATTTCATTTCATAGTGACTCCATTTTCCATAATAAACACTTCTTACTGAACACAGAATTCACCTAGGAAGATCAAAAGAAACATTGATTCTATAAATATTGCGGCTGAAAAGTTCTACACCTCTCTGCCTTATATCTGTTTAAGCACCAAAGAAGCAAAAATACATTCAGCTGTAGGATAGCCATTAAAACCATGCAGAAAAAAAATAACATGTCTAGTCAAGATCTTTAAGTTGACCTCTTCAGGAAAATCAAGCAAAGTTGCTAGAGCCTCAAAGCATGATGAAACAAATTGATGCTAGGTAACATTAAGTATAGCGCCTTGTTAAATACTAAGCAACTATTAGGTAGAGAAGTCCTCCGATGAATGAAATGTAACATTTATCTAGCTACACAAAGACATTCGTCTGTAAAATAGGTTTTGTTCAACACATTGCAGAAGAGCTTTCAAGAAACCTAAGCACGTTTCACATTTGGTCATGCTGAATTTATTTCTGGAGTAGTTATCAGGCTGCTCACCTGCAGGGAGGGTTCTTTCACAGCATCTGATTGCTTGTTGGCCTTCCAAGCCTCTTCTATGTTATCTGGCTGTGACACATTTGACTCAACCCATTCAACTGAAGAATCCTAAAAATAGTTTAATGTAAAGAATAATAACAACACCTTAACATACTGTTATATGTTGATAAAATACAATACTTACCAAGTCTACTGACAATCAAAATTGATGCTCAGTGCTAAGCATTACTAATATAATATTGTTATTTTAAAATAATGATAATAAAAATAGAATATTGATATTCCCATAGGAGATTGCTCCTTCATGATCAAAATGTTCCACCATACTTCATCAGCACATCACAGTATGTAACACTAGTTCATACTGGCAGTTTATTAGCATAACACTGCTAAAGTTAAAACTGTCAGAATAAAACCAAAACAAAAACCAATTTTTATGGCATTACAACAAAAAATTAAAAAAAATCTAAATTCATTAAGTATGTTTTACATTAAAAAAGTAAAATCAGTAGCAAAGTACACTATAAAGCACTGTATATGCTATCTCTTCCTATTTTCATATCCAACTTCCTACCATTGCACTTGCAAACAGTGTACTGAGATTTTACACTTGAAGCAAATAGGACTCCATTGAACAGAGTTTCTTTGCTATTTACATGAACTGTCATAGGAATAACAGACTTTGGATTGAAGGTATCAGCCAGAACTGTGATGTCATCTGAGGAGTTTTGATGACTCCCATGGGAAATGGTGGACATTTGTGGCTTAGGTTACTTCCCACACTGAAAAGCATAGTTCACTTCTGTCATCAGTCCCTGGAAAATAAATCTCATCATATTGTATGTTCCTTCATTCAATAAAAGAGGCTTTCTGAAAAGAAAAAAAATCACAATGCTACCTGACTTGCACCAAAATGCTGGGAGCATGTTTTACACAACATGGGCAGAAAGCAGCACCCAGATTTCTAACACAGTCTCCATACTGTTTTGCCAGAGGGCCCCTCAATGCGAAGGCATCCGTCTGCAGTTTCAAATGCACAAGTTTCAGCCTCCTTCAGACTCACATACAACTCCCATGTTGCTGGGAGTTTCCATGGCTGAACATTCATGGAAAAAGGCAGGAGTAACTCATGCTTAAAATCACAGTCAAGTATTTGTACTTTTAGACACATCACTCTATCGTATACCATCGATAGATACACAGATATAGGTAGATACATAGATACAGATAGATATATAGATATAGGTAGATACATAGATACATACATACATATGGGGAACCTATGAATTTTCCACTCTACCCTAGAATGAGGATTTTTTTCAATTTCTCTCTGCAGAAAAACTATAAATTCCTTAGTTCCTAATGAGTGAATTCAATATAACAAAATTCACAAGCACTCACATAACAGCATCATTTAAATTGAGTGAATACTCAGTATATTGAAAAGACAAACTTTGCCACATTTTTTATCAGCAGAAAATGGTAAGAATGAGTCTTAATTTTACTGACCATGTGTACCCACAGAGACTTAAACAGTGCAGGTTTTAAAAAATGTCACTTGAAGCATTTCAAAGTTTCTTACTTACTGAAGAACTATCACGTAAGTCATCCTCCTTTTCAGATTTTTGTTTCTTATTTTTCTTCTTTTCTTTCTTAGCTTTTTTTGAATGCTTATCCTTTTTCTTTTTTTTCTGAACAGAATGTTTCTACAAGTAAATATTTGCAAATGAGATCCAGCAAACCAAATCACCCACATACAAGAAAAACAATCACAATCTACTTACCAAACCACACTGAAAAAGGTAAAACACACACAGCTGGACATAGCTACATTTAATTCTACTACCCTCTCTCTCTTCTACTGGAGTGGGGGGCAGAGGGCATACCTGACATCCATAATCAACTTTTCTTCCCCATCTTTTTCACTGGTACTAAGGGCACTATAACTATACATAGAATATCTTCTACATTAAAATCATTTCAGTCAAATCTATTTCCTTGGGAATCACTACATCATCAGTACAGTGTCCTTTGTTGAAATATCTGCACAGATTTAGAATTGTAGAATAATAGAATTCTAATAATTCTAGAATAGAATTCCTACACTAATACTAAAGGATTCAATATTCAGAGGTTCCATTAAGGTTTCTCCTGTGAATCACCACAAATGGGACGGCTACGAAACCTTGGATCCTCCAGATTTCTTCCTACGGGGACTACTGTTGTCTGTCAGCACTTGCCCTTCTGCATTTGGTAGAAATTAAAGCTGGAATTGAATGATAGAATTTTTCCTCTTTGTGAGTAAAAGATGATTTCCACTTAAAGAAAGCTAATATTGAAGCATAACGAATTCAGAAATTGTGAGGTTTTTAAAGATCGTCTTAAAGTCCTCAAAGCCTTCTGTTCATACGAACATGCTGTAAATGCTGTAAAGCTAGCAACACAATTCAATGATTGACACTTCCGTCACCTTTTCTAGTTGTTCCACTTGTTCATTCACATCAGCAAGCATCCATGTATCTTCACCTCGTAGATGCTTTAGCAGCTTGCACCTCCGCTCCTTTTCATATCTAATTTTGGCCTAAGAAGAACATAGAAGAAAAATAACCAGAGTTCAGTAGCATTTACTTACACCTTTGTAAGTCACACTGACACAACCAATAGACAATGTTGACAAGTGTGCTTGAGAACTCTTCCTTTCAGAGGACCAGAAGAAAGATACTTTTGGATTACATGTTAAAGGGAAAATTCAGCTAAAACATATTATGCACTTTCCTCCCTCAAGCTACAGCTTTGCAGCTGCCCTAGCACTGATTTCATCCTATCATCCTAAATAAGAGTGATACAAAGACATGCAACTTCTGTTCTTTCATTCTGAGAAGTCTTCTGTTCTTACAACCTTCAGGAACTGGATATGATATGATATGAGATATATGAGATATGATATAGTGGACTTCTGATTTCCTACTTAAAAAAAATTCTCTGAGCAATTATTCCACTGCAAAACACAGCTCACTATCTGTCAATTTGAGAAGTTAGCAAGCCTATCTTTGTGCACATTCAACTTTGAAAATATCAGCTAGGTGCAAAACTTGGAACTGCAGAAGTCATCCATGCTCTCAAGGAATATACAAGTATATAAGGATTAGCATTTTGGGCTGCCCCTTTCTGGTTATGGAGACAAAACGAGAAATATTTTAATACTATTACTGAAAAAAATAATAATCACTGCAGACTGTTTCAATTCCTGAAAAGGATTTTTATAAGCCACATCAATAAAATAACAAACTTTTCAGCCTCTGAAGTTCCCTCTATTACTTTCAGCAGAAACATGACTTCCACAAACAAGTTTACTTAAATATAACTTGCCATTGGAAAACTCTTTATCCCAAAGTGCAATATATCACCACACCTGATTAACAGGAAGAAAGTTATTTTATATTATTAAAACTGTAATTTTGTGTGAGGTAAGTCTTGCAAGTTTGAGCTTGCTTTTGGTTTTTTGTCTGTGGAGGATTTTTTAAAATAAGTAAAGGTGGAGCTTGGCTTTCATCTTGAAACACTGAGTTTTACCAGAAAGTGTTTTCAATCATAAGCCAAGAGATTGCATACAAGTTTAAAAAAGACCAATACTTAAAAAAAAAATCTCAGGAGATAGACAACAAGTTGATGTCTTTCCTCCTGGTCAGCTATTAATTCTAGATTAACAGAATTAATCAAACTACTAGAGTATACATAGATATCAAAATTTCTAGAGTAACAAACTCTAGATACAATCCTGTGCACTGCACAAGAGTAACCTCCCTATCACAGGCCAGTTTCTCTTTTTTGATACAGCCAAGAAGGAAATCTGCAGGTTTTGTACAGATAGAATAAGAGGCTTGCAGGAGAATGACCAGTACACCATAAAGGTTCAATGAACAGAAATACATGCTAAAAAATAAGGTTAAAAGTTTTTTAAAAAAAAAGCTAACTTATAAGGTAGGAATGCTGTTGTATTTTTGAACATTGTTGTTAGCAATATTGAAAGTAACACAAAGAACCAAAAAAAAAGTAGTCAAAATTCTAAACATCTGTGCCCAAAGCACCCTTTTAAAATTTCATCATCTACTTTCTTAGAAGCCCCAGAAAGTGATAAACCTTCTAATGCACTTAAATGCAAGCGAAGCAAGGCCGCTACCCAGACTTACTAATTTTAAAAGAAGGGACTTTGCAAAACCAAAAAGAAAAAACGTTTAAGTCCGCTCAGATAAAGAGGCCAAGATTGGGACTTCCATCTCTAGAATGGAGCTGACAGTCTACAAGGGTGAATGCTACATGTTAAAATTCAAAAAGCAGGTATAAAGAAAGAGCACGTTTATTCCAATATCAAAACAGTTTTCCAGTTTATAGATAAACAAAACAACAAAAGAATAAGCAGGACTGTAATTCAGTGAGAGTGAAATAGCTGTCAAGTATAACACAGGATCACCAAAACCACCCAGGACTCCAAAAAATGCAGGTATGTTTCCTGATACCTCCCCATGATCCAGAGAGCTCACTGGCTAACCCTGGCCACCTAAGACATGTATCCATCTGGGACAACACCCTTGAAAGTTCATATGGAAATCACCAACAGGTATTTTCTGTTCTAGTCCATACAGATGACAATGGCCCTTCCGCCTTAAAAATACATTCACCTGACTAAAACAAAGTAACTAAGCATGCCACATTCATGGACAAATAAAGGGTAATAACCTCAGCTATGCAACTCACAAAATGACTACAAGCCACACACACACACAAAACATAAGCTTGTAACTGGACGCAGATGAAAGTGGATATAAAGGAAACTTGAACATAGTTCTAGATGGGAAAAACACAACAAAAACAGACTCCAAATTTGTTTGCTCCACAAGTAAACATGAAACATGTTGCCAAGATTTCAACCGGGAAAAGGCTTTCTGCATACTCCATTTCACTTTTCCTTGAGAAAGATCTGCAGCTCAAGTCTACAGTTCCCTTCCATCCCTTCAGCAGTTCTTAGTCAGATAAATCTATAAATTCCTCAGATAAAGGCAAATCAATATCAGCTTGTCAACATGTCTTCATTTAATACATTCTTTGCCTGCCTAGGAAGATGTATGTAGTCTCTTACCCTTCTCTATAATAACAAGTATATTTTAAATAAAATTCCTATTTCCTTCATGTTACCAAAGTTACAAATATATATTGTATAAAATGAAGTTATCATTACAAATAAGGTACAAAAGGAGCTTTTATACTTTTTCTTAGATCTAAGAATAAACAGAAAAAATAAAGACAAGTATTTAGGTAATTGAGATATATGATCCTAATAAAAGAGGTGGATCGTCGTTTTGGCTGTAGTATACAAATACATATTCAGAACACAGAATGACTAGAAGTCATCCTCAAACTGCAGACTGTTGTCTCCTGAATACTAAATGAAAGAGGACTGGGCCAGATGAATCTGTAGTGGCAATACCACCAGACCGTTAAAAAGAGAGAGACAGACACCAAAGCATCAGGTCAAAGTTTGCTTCCTCTTAGACAAAGATACAAAATACAGGAGATTCTTAACAATATCTGTATGTAAAATAAAAAAGAGAAAGATGCCTAGAGATTTAAAACTATGAAAGAAGTTGTATTTTCACCTAAATTAACATTTTAACACGACACTAGAAAGTTAGCAGCAATACCATCTGATCCTTTCTATCTTTAAAAACTATGTAGAGCTCCCTCTACCATTAAATTACAATATTCGTTTTTCTTGCTGATGAATGCTTTCCCCTCAGACACACATACACAAATATTTCAAGTGGTGGGGGAGGGGGAAAATCTGTCTACACTTTATTAGCTGCAAAACTTATCTTTCTATTCTACTTGTCTTTTATAAAAACGCAGGGCTTACTAGCATCTAACTAGCTTTGCTTCCTTTTCTACATTTTATAATTAAGTCCCCTGTCAGACTCATCGTTCTATGCATGAAGGCCAACTCTAATAGTTTCACATCTCTCAACCCACAGGATTTCAAGCATTCAATTCACATTAAGGTTCATTAATACTTTACGATACCACAGAAGTAGCCAACAATTTATCCTTTCCCCTTTACAGAGGAGTACTTATTATTAGGTACATTTTAGGTCACCACTGCAGTATTTTTACATTTTTTCTCCATAAAGATAGGATGCTACATTTCTGAAATACCTCTATTTCAAAGTTATTTATTAATTATGCAAATGACAGTGCATGCTACACACAAACACAGAGGTCCATTAAAAGCAACAACCTGTCCAGAAGGGCATGCATCGTGCTACATTATGTACTTCTGCAACACTCTAAAGTTGCTCAAAGTCTCCTTTGCAACAAACATGAGGTGAAGTATAACGCTGGCAAAGCACTCTGAAAGGTCTCGCAGTAGGGTGCTATAAAAACAGTAATTACTCTACAGCACTATATTAGCAATGTTTGTGTATTGGGTTTGCATCGCAAGGTTTTGGTAGCAAGGGGGCTGCAGGGGTGGCTTCTGAGAGAAGCTGCTAGAAGCTTCCCCTGTGTCCGACAGTCTGTGCCAGCCAGCTCCAAGACAGACCCGCCACTGGCCAAGGCCGAGCCCATCCGCGACCGCGGTAGCACCTGTTT